ATGTAAAACGAGCAGACCCTTTTGAGTGATATTTCTCTCATCCCACTACATGTATGTGATATTTTGGAGCAATGTATAGTCAATTCCTGTCCCATTAGGTGATTTGTTGGAATACGCTTTCAGAGGACATTTTCGAAAGACCCGTTGATACTAAGCACATATAGAAGTGCCATATCTGATACTAGTATATTTGTGTTATTACTTCATTATTAAGCATGCTGTTCAGATTATAGAATTTTATTTCAAGTAAAATTGATGAACTGTTTCCAGTCTCATTTCTAATTTTTTTTCTCCAGGTTCATCTTGTTACTTTCTGTGTCAAGTACAATGTAACTGTAGATTGTCCTTTTTCCTTTAACACTTCTCCTCATAATCACTCAATTATTTAATTTTTCTGATAATCTAATCAACTAACAAGGAGAGTACTTAATGACAGCTTCTTTCCCTCATGTAGCCAAGATCCCGTGGAGGCGTGGACGGACGCGGCAGCCGCCCAGCCCAATTTCACCCAGAGCGGGCGGAGCCAGCAGTGAGTTAGGCATTGCATCGCATCTCCCCTTTCAGTCCCGTTCCATCCCCTTCCCAAGACCCACCTTTCCTCCTCTCTGCTCCACCCTTCCCTCAAATCTTACAAAGCAAATGCAGTCCGTGCCCATCTCAGCCTGTCATTTCTTTGCTCAACCTGTTTGATGCTTCTCTTTCCAAAACCTCCCATGTATAGCAGAGAAAAAGTCCTCAGCATCATCTCCTGCTTGCGTTGCTGTTTCTACCTTCCAAAGAAAAGCCCAGTTGGAGAAATTACCATTTAGTAGCAACACTAGAATTTTATTTGATTTTGAAGCAGTTGTAAAAGCCTGTGATACATGTAGTATGGGCCATCTAGATTTTTTGTATGACTCGTAGTGCTACATGTACCTGTCAGTTTCAAAACATATTCCGTAGACATGAGATGCATTGATTGAAGATAATGTTATGAGGTCCCTTTTAACAGTGGTCTGGTTCCCAGGCTATTTAATTTCAGGCTTTTTTTTTTTTTTTTTGAGTAGATGTGCAGCATATGGAGCCCTTATGCACGAGGACCCCATTTGAAAACACATACCCGTAACACTGCAGTTTGCCCAACTTTTCTTTAAAGCGGTTACAAACTTTGCAGTCCACGGCAACAGTCCCCTTTTCCAAAATAAAATTTACCAGCATGATGAAAACACTCATCCCTCAGTCCTCAACGTCCTTGCTATATCAGTCGCTTGTCCATCTTAAATATTCTGCTACTCAGCCACGGTTTGTAGCAATTTAACCGCTCTTCAGAAAGATGTTTGAGGCATGCATGTACATGTATATGAGTCATGTACATGTATTGTGGCTTGATGTAAAATTGTCTATTACTATGTTCATATTCATGGACACCTAACCCTACAGGCATCCACTATGTCCAATTTCCAAACTTATTGTCCAACAGGAAATTACTGTTCTATGAACCTACATGTACTAGTATGACCGTTTATGCGTCATTGAAATATACCCTACATGTATGTCACATGGCCAAGTGCATGTGAGAACAGTGTCATCGGAATATACCGTACATGTATGTCACATGGCCAAGTGCATGTGAGAACAGTGTAAGAACAGTGTCATTGAAATATACCATACATGTATGTCACATGGCCAAGTTTAATGTTTGAAATCAATTTATCTTGCCCATATTTCAGTGACATGCATTTGCTTTGACAGCACATGGGAAGATTTCTGTCTTTAATTAATTGCTTATACTTTTTTTTCTTCAGAATGTCACAGACTGTTATCGTTCACTTTCTTATCAGTTTTTTACATCAAATATTGCTAAACAAGGGTTGCATTTACACGTATGTGGTTTTGGCTGTGTTTTTGGCTTTTTCAACAACAGTTTGGAAAAGATCCATAGAGATGGAAGAAGGTGAATTGCCTTGTCTGAAAACAGGTCATTTAGATGCATATGTGTAAATGTTCAAGCACAGGTACCAGTTAGGTTAAGGATTACAAAATAGATGGGCACATTACGCTTTGGTTAGGTGTGTTCTTCATTAGAGAAGTTAAAGGTTTGTGTACATTCTGATGAAAATTGATGGTGCATACTCCACACTATGCATGCATACATGTAAATCAGTCTGTGCTTACCATATATGTTTGTGAGTTAGCCATGCTGGGTTGTTCCTTAACAATATATTATTACACAAAATACATGTACATGTAGTGTGACATTTCGTTATCAAAAACAAAGAAAATATGCGTATGACTTCCTCTGTCAGTTCCCCTTGAAAGAAATAAAGTGAATACCATGCTAAACCTAGACAGAAATCTAGACCACAGATGCTGCATCTGGGCTGCACGGCAACACCTCACAAAGGCAGCTGATGTGTTGCCTAGCAACCATGTGCCTGCCTCGTTACATTTATCCACTGTGCTATTATGTGAAAGTGTGAATTTTCAGAATTACAAATCGCTCTCCTCCAAAATTATTTATCACCGAGTGGCACCTACATTTTCCACTGCAGTGTGTTAAAGTTTCAGTCTCTGCACTTAAAGCTGCCTTGAATCAATTTTCAAAAATTTTCCACTGAAGATCTGTTTGCATTATATTTTTTCAGTAATCTGCTCTCATTCATGCACTCTAAACTCCTGCATATCTAGAAAGCATTTTTGACGTCAGATTAGATGTTCAGTTGGAGAAGTGTGTTCATGAGTTTCCATGACTTGAAAGCAAGCTTAGTCACAATGTTAAAGCTGTTCAGAAAATTTGTTGTCTTTTCCTGCAAAAGTTTTAGGAACATGGTGCATCAAAAATGCTTAAAGAAAGTTACGAGGTGATCTTAAATGTTTCACGCAAATATGAACATGTTGCATGACAAGTAAGACTTGAAGCACCTACATGTACACTATTATCATGTAGTTACAGTAGTGGCTGTCCCTTTAACATTTAAGGATTCGACTGAGTCACTGTCTTCTCTGTATTGGCTTCACACTGCCACATTGTCAGAGCTGACACATTTTAAATGTCACAGCACACAAACGTACCGGACAGAGAACAGAAACCTGCTAACAAGATGGTCTGGCATTCCGGTGTAAGACGTTGGGATGCACTCATGTTTCTTTGTGCTGAATACAACATGACTTGCTCCTTACTGCTTGGATTTTTAGGCCATATTCCCCATCTTTCTTTTGTCAAACTTGGAGCGGACATAGTGTGTACATTTGATCTGTTACTCTGAGTGGATTGATACTCCGATGTTGTACATCTGTCGGAATAAGTTTCAGTCTGTTCATGCACCCTGCCATCAGCGAACACATACACTGTACCGGTACACCTTACTCAGGCTGCTAATCTGAATGGAAGATGCCAGGGAATAATGTAACTGCTGGGGAAAGACTTTGTACATGTGCAGGTAGGTACAAGT